TGTAAGAATTTACTGCACCTGGGACTCCCTGGTTCCATACCTAAACTTCCCAATATTTTTACTTGCTTGCTTGCCTATGGAAGTATTTCTATCCCACAATATGATAAAATATCAGGATGGTGTACTCCATGAAACACCATTAAAACAATACAGATCATCGTTAAAGTGACTGGCAAATAAAATAAATGAATAAACAGCTGCGAGAGCTGGCATCACTAAATGTCGGACTTCTGTTGGAAGCCACTTGGGTCTCTGTAACATGAGGGACAAAAACAAAGTCCGACTGGGTGGTCGCTGTGATCTCAGCTGGGATTTAAGGTCTCAGACAGTCCTTAAGGTATCCTGGACCCAAGTTGTTCAAGGCTTTGTATGTCAACACACAAACCTTTATTTTGGCCCAATAGCATATGGTCAGCCAGCACAGATGGCATTGGCCTCCCATCATTCCTGACCAGAGATGTTTAAGCTGAGCTGTCATACACCGTCAGCTGTCTGCCTCCACCAGCAGTTAAGTCACTGCGTTCTGCACTAGATGGAGTTTCCAGACCAGGACCAGGGGCAGACCCACATACAGCACCTTGCAGGAATCCTGCCTTGAGGTCACCAATGCATGGACTACAGTGTCCAGTCTATCCTGGTTCAGATACAGCCAGAACAGGTATACCAGATGAAGCTGGCAAAAGCCAATTCTCTTTCCATTGCACCACAATCACTTTCAAAATATGCTCGAAAACAGCATGACCTTTACTCCTTTCCAAGGAACTCTACACACCTTCTCCAAACTCCTTGTGCATTTACGGTATGTTTTCTTTAAATCCTGTCTTTTATTCCTGCCATTTCCAGGGAGGGTGCAACAAATCATAAAACAGACAGGAAGAATAATCAACAAAGAAGCATTTACAATTTGAGCTTCTGCAGCCTACTCATATCAGACTTAGCTGGGGAACTTGTGTTTTGCAGAAAAACAGACTAAGCAGCTTGAAGATAAATGGCCAAGCTGGTTTCAGTTTTAGAACTGCCAGCTGTGGGAATTGCTACTCCGGGTCCCATGTGTCCTACTTTACAGAGTGCAATCCTCTACTTAAAAGCAGCATCTATTTCAGGGATGCTGAAGCTGCAGCCTTCCACCTGCTGCCTGAAACTCAGCAGAGCTGCTGCCAGTCAGTGCAGACAATACTGAGTTAGATGGACCAAAGGTCTTACTTGCTCTAAGGCAGCTCCCTATATTCTCCATTGTCTGCAGAGCACCCTACAGGATTCCCCGCCCCCTGGTGTGACTTAGAATGTGGACTTAGCCTAGAGGTATAGATGATGCTTGGCCCTACAGGTATAGCAGATCTGTGCTAGTCTCATCATTAATAAAACCAAGTGCCTCAAGATCAGGCTTCCATTTTCAAAACACATTCCATGGGCATCTCCAGGCATCCTTTTTATTGTGCTTTCCGGATGATTTGTGCTCATGATGGTATCAGGGCAGTTATACATGATTTTGCTCTCACTACTGTTCGTGCCTGCAAAGGTTTCAGGGTAGATATACAGCTTCATTTCCAGCAGGTGCATGTCCCATAGCTTCCTGCTGAAATCCTGTAGAAATATTTCACAAATGTTTCCAGGGAGGGAGTTCTCCTGCTTTTGCCCCTGCTCCTCTCCAGCCTTCTTTTTTCCTTCTCTGCCACATTCAGAGTGCTGGGGCTCCCCAAACCACCTCCAGTCACCTCAAGCAGTGGTGTCAGTGGCAGAGGGGTGCACACACCTGTTTCTCTTTTGCCTAAGGTGGCAAAATGTCCTGGGCCGACCCTGCTGGAGCAGCATGATATGCCTGGACAGCAAAGGAAAAAAATACTAATATGGAAGGAGTCTATGCTTTCTTTTAAAAGTATGTACAGTGGTACCTCAGGTTACATACGCTTCAGGTTACACACTCCACTAACCCAGAAATAGTGCTTCAGGTTAAGAACTTTGCTTCAGGATGAGAACAGAAATTGTGCTCTGGCAGCGTGGTGGCAGCAGGAGGCCCCATTAGCTAAAGTGGTGCTTCAGGTTAAGAACAGTTTCAGGTTAAGAACAGACCTCCGGAACGAATTAAGTACTTAACCCAAGGTACCACTGTATGGGGTTTCCAGCAGCTGACTTGGGTTAGAGGTTACCTATGAAGTTTGCGTCTGTACATATGCACACATGTATTTTATAATAATATGATATAGATCAGTTTCAACAAAACCTGTGTTTTGCTGGAGTGAATTAATATCATTTTATTAAACAAAAATAAATGTCGTTTGTTCCTAAATCAACACAAGAGCTAGATGTGGCTGTCTGGGGTAGTTGAGGAGAGAGAGTTGCTGGCTTGGCTAGCAACGTGATGAATATGGCTGACTACTCATTTTGCAGTGGGGGGGGGAGAGACAAGGCACCTCTTCATACAAAGTACAGCTAAACTCCATTAGCAGAACTTCACACAGCCCACTGAATGGGCCTCTTTCCTCCCAAGGGCGAATATTGCTAGATGTAAAGAGCAGATTTCCTAAATCCTTAGAACATTTAATTATTATTATTATTATTATAATTATTTGCATGTCATCCTAATGGTTCTCCTGCATCACAAACTGAGCTAGAAAACCTTCACTGTGCCTGTGAGCAAGCGGAGTTAATCCTATCCTTCCTCTGTGCATCCATCACAGCACCTGTCGTGTTATGGAAGACACATGACACTTCATTATAGACGTCAGCCACCCTCTGCATCAAATGAGCCACAAGGCCACTCGCCCACAGAACATCACTAAAAATCCAATCAACAATCACCTGGTTTTTTAAATACATTGTCATACAAAGGTCAAGGTTCACCAGCCTGTCAGAAAAGGTTTCATTAGTAAAATATGATTTGCCCTGTAATCACACTGCTAACTGAAAAGAAACCAGGGCTGGTTAAAAATGGGGTTGGATGGAAGCCGGACGCAACATGGAAACCCAGTTGCTATAAAAAAGAGAGAGATCCCCCTCACCTTCTTCCACTTTACAGAACAAGGTAACACGAATTTACACATTCTAGTGATCTCAGCTTTCCACCCAGAAGTTCGCAAGACAGCGGAGGCTGCTGCATTAGGGCAAATGGGGTACCACTCCATCAGTCTCAGTCTGCCCCCAACCAGCCCCCCCCACCTGCCTTCTTACAACCAATCCAGGGCATGATGATGGCTGTCAGCTGTCTCGCCAGAGTGGTGCACGCCCTGATTATCTCCTGCCTGGACTACTGCAATGCACTCCATGTGGGCCTACCTTTGAAAGTGACCCAGAAATTACAACTAATCCTGAATGCGGCTGCCAGACTGGTGACTGGGAGCAACCGCGGGGATCATATAACACCAGACCTAAAAGATCTACATTGGCTCCCAGTATGTTTCCAAGCACAATTCAAAGTGTTGGTGCTGACCTTTAAAGCCCTAAACGCCCTTGGCCCTGTATACCTGAAGGAGCGTCTCCACCCCCATCGTTCTACCAGCCGAGGGCCTTCTGGCTGTTCCCTCACTGCGAGGAGCTAAGCTACAGGCAACCAAGCAGAGGGCCTTCTCAGTAGTGGAGCCTGCCTGTGGAACACCCTCCCATCAGATGTCAAGGAGATAAATAACTATCTGACTTTTAGAAGACATCTGAAGGCAGCCCTGTATAGGGAAACTTTTAATGTTTGATACCTCACTGTGTTTTTATATTTTGTTGGAAGCCGCCTAGAGTGATTGGGGCAACCCAGTCAGGTGGCTGGGATACAAATTGTTAAGTTCTGGGTGAACATATCGGACAACACAGCGATTCTTCAAACAGCTCTTGTTTATTCACAGGCCAGAACAGAACTGAACTGAAGAGTTCAGCCAGCCTGCTTATATAGAACTCCACTAGAACGCAACAGTAACCATTTTCTGTAACTATCCAATCACTGAACATCACTTTCAATCCCTTATTTGCATATGTGGACCTGAGTGAAAACTATCTACAGTATCCCCCTGCTGGCCCAGGGTGAGAACTTCAGTACATAACACAAATATAACAACAACTTCTGTCTAAAGGTGCACTAGAGCCTTAGAGCAAATAATGCACTAGCCCACTAATGTCAGCCAAGCCTCATCTTCCTACTTGCAACCAGTCTAGAGGGTAGTAATGCCTGTCAGCTTCCTCTTCCTCCTTAGTCTCAGTATTGCCCCTGTACAACTCAGCACAGACTCAGACTATTTGGCCCTGGCTCCCTGCCTGTCCTTATTCCTGCCAGATAAAGTACTCAACTTTGTATTGTGATTTCTTCCAAAAACTTTAATGCTCAGATCAGTATAAAAAGCAAGGCAGGAGATTAAGGCACAGCAGACTATAATTGGACCAAAATTAACTGGGCCCAAACTTACAATAGTGAGAAATGTCATGTTTCACACCTAGTCACAAAGAACTAGTGGCACAAATACAAGATGGGGGACACCTGGCTTTCTAGTAGCACATGTGAAAAGGATCTAGTTGATCCTAATGAAGGTGTTACCCTACTGTGGCTTTTCAATGAAGGGCACATCCTATTTGGGGGAATCAAGCTCCAGTCTCTAGGATTCATAATCAAAATCAGAGGTGCCTTAGGACAGGTACCCCAGATGTCTAAGCTCTACCCAGAATGAGTATACACTGCAGAGGTCTGTGCCAGCATGACCTCTGGCCAAATCAGATTCAATCACGCCAGGTTGACTGACCAAATGAGCTCAGCTAGCTGATTCACATTAAAAGAAAATCCTGAAACCAAGCAATTGCAGCGTGAGCTGTGGCTGCAATCCTTAATATCCAATCAAGAGCTTAACTTTTATTAAAACAATTTTAACAAGCGAAAACGTAAAGGGCAGAGAATAAAATGATTATTCCTTTCTCCCATTACACAACTTGATTAAAGGGTATGACAGAGAGCATCCTTTTGGATGTGATGCCAAATAATGGAAATAATGGACTGGCCACCCAAAAGAAGTTCATCAGACTTTTTCCATGCCTGCTTTTAAGTGCACATTGAAAATGGTTTTATTGCAGTGGGCTTTTCTTCTTCTTTTTAATTAGGGTATCCAGATGATGCACTTTAGTGCTGGAGCAGTTGCAATTTTATTGCCATTCTTTGCCATTGTTTTCTGACGGAATCACAGCTTGTTTCACTGCATATTTTTAAAGTTTCTGTGCTGCTACAGAATGGTGGGATATAAAAGTTGGGATAAATAAAATAATGATGTACATGGCTGAGCAGGGCTTGAGAGCTTGGAGCTCCATTATCCGAATCTTTTGTTTAAAGCATCTTAAAATCCAAGCTGACATCACATGGTCTCCTGCTATCATGATGCCAGGGCAGAAAAAAAGCTATAACAAGAGGTCATAGAGGGGGGACCTGAGAAAGGTACTGCTGCTCTCACTAGTAGCCACGTGTTTAGCTTAATATCTAGTGCAGGGGTAAGGAAACCTTTTGGTTCTGTGGGCCAGCTCCATGTCATTACAACACCATGTGATTGACAAGCGGGTTATCCTGCCTACCTGTCAAAATCAATGGTGTAATCGTTCATAGTTGCAAGGAGGGATGTTGAAGACCCATTGCTATTTCTGCATTAGGATCTCTGTGTCCAGCATCCTACAGCCACCCAATCAGCATGGGCACAAATTTATGCTTTCTTTTCCCCTCCAAAAGAAGCTGACAAAGGAAACAGGAGATCTTCAGCTTTGTCTCTCTACATATATACTAGCATGATGAGATCTGCAATTTATAGCTCATTCTTAACATTCGTTGAAGCTTAAGCCAGGCTCTCACCATAAGCTGCTTAGGAGCAGCATTTAGCTACAAAAGTTGAAGCCCCCCTCCCTAGCTTTTGTTGGCTGAGAAGGAAAGTAAGAAGCCTGTGGTCTAGATCTTGGGCAATCAAATGAAATAAAAGTGGGGAAGCTGGAGGGCATTTACAGAGAAAAGGTGGCAAGCTGAGCAGCTGGCTGGAACCTCTCTCAATGAGTTAATTCATTGCACCCAGATCTCAGGGAGACCAGACCATACCTGCCAACTGCACTTCACTCAAGCTTCCATCAATCACTAATCATTATGAATGTCAAGAGCATCAATAGAGAAGTGCAGCAATAAGGTAACAACAAATATCTCTGAAAGATTTGCAACAAATAAATGAAAACTAAAATGCAATCACAATGCTCAATTTCTATATGGTACCGAAATAGAGGAATTTTTATATTTCTAATGAAAAAAATGCAACTAAAATGCAGGAAAATAGTAAAGCAATAGTACAGACAACATGTCTAGGTACAGGGTAAGCCTGCATTAATACAAAGTTTTGTGCAAGCATCTAACTCAGCCCCAGGGGTGACCCTCCAGGTCCCTTTATCTGGTCCATGGGACTTTGCCCAGCCCTACTTCGCACCTTCCTGGGCTAGAATGTGTCCTTGAACTCTGATGACCTTGCTCTTCTGGACAGAGGGTAGAGAAGGGTGTGTAAGTATGTGTAGAAACTAGCCTACTATACAAAGGTAAAATTAACATTCACTGCCCTGCCCACTTTTGCTTCTGGCCCTTCCCAGCACTGGCATATGGTCCCCAGAATGTTGACTGGAAGGGAATGCAGGGCCCTAACCCTGATCTAAGGCATAGCATTGAGGTGATTGCCATGTGTCTAAATTTCACAAAATAGGTGCTGGGGAAAAGCCCTTCTGCAGGTGGTCATGAAAGGGACCTCAGGGGTATGTGGCCTGGTCAAATCTGCTTCTCTTGAAGACTGCTGTGATCTGGCAGGCACATACAGGATAAGGCAGTTCCTTAAATAGACTGGTCCCAAGTTGTTTGGGGCTTATAATAACATCAGCAAGAGTTTAAACCTTTGATAATACTTTTATTACCTTACTCTGTCTCTTGAACTAAATCTCAATAGAGCTGAGAATTTCTCTCTTTAAAAAATTTCTATCTTCTCTACAAAGTAAGAGCAGCCATCCAAATTATTATTATTAGTAGTAGTAGTAGTTAACGTCATTAATTATATTACCCACCCCTCACTAGCAGGTCCTAGTACAGGTTACAACAATGGAAAATTCAGAGTTGAAAACTGTTAAAACAAATTGCAATCACAGGAATAGGGTGAAAACACATCTCGGGGTCAAGGGTAAAGAGGTACATCTTCAGCATTTGGCAAAAGCTGCATAGTGAAGAAGCCAGGCACACCTCAATGGGAATGATCTTCACAGCTTAGGTGCTACCATAGAGAATGCCATCTACCAAGCAAGCCTCCTCTCCCCACCCCCACGGCAACCCTCTGAGGGAGGTGGAACAGCCAAGAGGGTCCCCTCTGCTGATCTGGATAAGGCGTATCTATAGGAAAGGAGACAGTCCTTCAGAAATCTGGAGCCCAAGTTGTTTAGAACATTAAACAGATCACCTTGAATTGGGTCAGGAAACAAACTCTCAGCAAAAGCAGCTGTTTGAGAACAGGGGTTATAGGAAGCCCAGGGAAACCAAAGTCACCACATTTTGGACCAGGTGAAATTTCTGACCCATCTTCAAGGACAATCCCACATAGAGCACATTGCAATAATCCAGTCTGGAAGTTACCAGAGCATGGAGTACTGTGGCCAAGTCATGCCCTGACCAAGGAAAAGCTAGAGACATGAATCATAAAGGAGAGCCTGCAGATTCTATTAGAAGATTTCTATATAATATTTCTCACTCTGACACACACTTCTTGTGTTTCCTCAGTTATGTCATTTATTCTGTGCCCATGACAGATATCGATTTAACTCAGCAAGCCTTCAATGGCTTTCAGGGGAGACAAATTTTAAGAAAAGTCCAATGTGCTTGCTGGGCAATTTTAATAGCTTTGAGGCCTGCCAGTATGACTCATCTGGGGACAGTGATGTGGATCATTGCTCAGTATCCATTTCTCTTATTTGCAGAAGTGGGCAAAATGTAAATCAGGATCTACTGGTAGACCTCTGAGTGATTTGCAGTAGATCAGAAGGGATTCTGATTCCAAGTTGTTTAACAAAAGTGGCAACAAAAGGGGGTGTTTGCCCCACCTTCCACATAAAGTTATAACAGCTAAAAAGAAATAGAGCATATACCGTATTTTTCGTCCTATAGGGCGCACCGGCCCATAGGACGCACCTCGTTTTTTTGGGGGGGGAAATGAATAAAAAAAAATATCCCCCCCCCCGCGGCGGCCGCCCAAGCCTTGCGCACACCTGCCCGAAGCACGGGGCACCCTCTGAAGGGCTCCGCGTGCTTCGGGCTGCAGGCTGCTGCCCCAAGCCTCGCGCGCCCGGCGGGACCTCCTGCCGGGCGCGCAAGGCTTGCGGACACTCGCCCGAAGCACGGGGAGCCCTCCAGAGCTGCCCCAAGCCCGGCAGGACCTCCTTGCGGATAGCTTCCTGAAGCCAGGAGAGCGAGAGGGGTCGGTGCGCACCGATGCCTCTCGCTCTCCAGGCTTCAGCGAAAGCCTGCATTCGCCCCATAGGATGCACACACATTTCCCCTTCATTTTTGGAGGGGGAAAAGTGCGTCCTATGGGGCGAAAAATACGGTATTACTTTTACGGGTCTGGCTAGGATTGCCTAAACATTTTTAAAAAATAATAGGCACTGAAAAAGAGCGAAGGCATATGCCTGATGTCAATAGGCAGGGAGTTCCAAAGTGAAATTGTAGGTGCGGCTACACTGAAAGATTGATTTCTTATAAGTGCAGGAAGAGTATTATGTGGCAGCTGTAGTTTCACAGATTGAATCTGTTGGGTGGGCATATATGGGATAAGGCAACACTGCAAGTGAACAAAATAAAATAAAATGCCCATTTTGCTGCTGAAGTGAACACATGTGTGACATAAGTATACATATTCATAGGATGAAACACAGGCACTTGCAATTGGCACACAGTTTCCTATGCCAAACTTCAAATCTCAGCACACAAAAAGACACATGTGCATGCGTTCAGGAGAAAACAAACACTTAGTACAGCCCTCCCAGGATCGTACCATGTCAGTATGCAAACAAGGCAAGCACATAATGGAATGCTCTCCTACATAAAAATTCACACACTATAAGGACTGTAAGGTAAGGATCACAGTAGCTTTCTCCCTGACACGCTGGCTTACTTCACGAAGAGATTTCAGAGGGCTAGCCATGAGAGTCTGTTGCTAAAAAAACAACAAGGAACTTCATGGCACTTTAAAAACTAATAAATTTGACCATTGCACAGGCTTTCATGGGTGAGAGTCCATCAGATGCATGGACTGTAACCCTCAGTTGGTACTGAAGCACTGATTCAAGCAGCATGTAATTCAAAACCATTTTTAACTGTACTTGCAGCACTGGTGGTGCTTACCGGTAACTCCTGTCACACATGATGCAGCACCACAGTATCTCCAGCAAGTAAGGTTGCTCCCGTAGAAACACAGGAAGCTGCTGACATAGGTCTTACACTGACCTATGTGATAAGGTCTTCATTGTTCCACCTAGCTCTGTATTGTCTACACTGACTGGCAGTGACTCTCCAGGATTTCACAAGGGGAGTGTCTCCTAGCCTCACCTGGAGATGCTGGGGATTGAACCTGGGACCTTCTGTGTACAAAACAGATGCTCTGAGCTATGGCTCCTTCTCTTAAAAAGAAGAAGTAAGATTCCAGTCTTCATGGTTATGAATGAAGGGCTGAATTAAATAGAAACAGGGGAGGCTGCCTTATTCAGCAGCTGCCTTCTGTGCCAACTTTTAAATGCCTGCTGAAAATGCTTTTGTTTTGCCAGGCTTATGCAGGCAATTAAGAGTACATCCCCCACAATGGTCTATTGATATTTGGCTTTAATTTATTTTTGCTTTTAACTGGTTTTCAACTTTTGGTTTTATGTTTTTATATTTTATGTTGTTGTAAACCGCTGTAATAAAACTTCATGATACAGCGGCATATAAATATTCAGTGGGTGAACCCCACGTAATTTAGGATGGGTTTCTTTCCAAGCAAACATGCATCAGATGGGACTGAGGTCCATGATCCTGGGGCATATTTACTTGGGCATCATTTAATTTAGTGGGATGTAACTGAATACAGTGGTACCTTGGGTTACATACGCTTCAGGTTACATACCCTTCAGGTTACAGACTCCGCTAACCCAGAAATAGTACCTTGGGTTAAGAACTTTGCTTCAGGATGAGAACAGAAATTGTGCTCCGGCGGCGCTGCAGCAGCAGGAGGCCCCATTAGCTAAAGTGGTGCTTCAGGTTAAGAACAGTTTCAGGTTAAGAACGGACCTCTGGAACGAATTAAGTACTTAACCCGAGGTACCACTGTATCTTGGTCAGAACTGTGCTGCTTGGCTGCAGTCCTATGTACTCTTCACAGGAGGCATGACTAACTGAACACAGGGAAACTTACTTCCGAGTAAGCGTGTACAGGGCCGGGCTGCCCACCTGCGAGCAATGCCACCTGGAGAAAGTGGGGGAACATTTTGCACTTGATCAAAGTGGATGAAATTGGCCAGGGGATGCCCTCTCTCATGGACTGTGGAGGGAGTTGAGGCAGGCTCTCTTACAGAGCAGATATTAACAGCCTTGGCTTGCTGCTTGATTGGCATCCGTGCAGGTTTGTTGTTTGTTTGTTTTGCTTTGTTTCAAACCAAGTGTTGTTTCACAGGGAGGCTCAGGCACGCGCAAAGACAGTAGCCCCTTGCAAAGAGAGAGCGAGCCGGCTAGGTAAACAGAGGCACCATCGCCAGCAAGCAACGCATCATCCACCCCTTTTTCCAGTGTTACAGACCTTCTCTCTCGCCTCTTCCGCGCTGGAGGAAAACACCGGTCGGCCCTCCCTGGCGCTGCTGAACGGAGAGCACCGCGAAGATGCCTCCTGGAGGGAGAAGAGAGAAATGATGCTCAAGGGCTTGGCTTGCGGAGGGCGGGACGGGGAAATGTCTAAGGCCCCGTCTGCTTCCCATTGCGCATAGGAACGGCTGGGGAGGGGGATGTTTTCCCCTTTTGACTGGGAGGGGGGGTGAGGAGATGATCTATTGGGATTATTCTAATATAGGGGGGGGGGGGCTTGATTCCTGAAACCAGGCGGAAGTGAAACCCTTCCCCTTCCTCCAGTCAATGAGAGCTCCGCCGGGTGGAGGAAAGGGGGTCACTCCCCTATTCATCATCACGCCGCAAGGCAGGCAATTCACCCGCCGCTCTCAACCAGCTGCCCGAAGGAAGGAGCCGGGTTTTGAGGCAGGACTGACATCCAGAGGCGAAGAGCGCCAAGGCAGGTGGCTGGAGGGTGCGCTCTTTGCAATCCGGTGCATAGCAAGAAAACTGCGTCCCGTTCCTTCCATCTTGCTGTGCTCGCTCACCAGGTAGTGAGTCCCACTAACTACAAGGGGAGAATGAGACATTTTGCAGACATGCAGCCTGAACCTAATAATGTTAAGGTGAATTATGTGTTATACCAGAGAAAGTGGCCGCAATCTACTGACCTGGGAGTAAGCCCAATTGAGCTCAATGGGATTTACTTCTGAGTAGATATGTAGGCTTGCATCATTTACTGGGTTACTTTGACCATGCTTGGGGCATGAGAAGATCTTAGCATGCAACACGGCATGCTAGGACCAATAAAAAATGGGAAAACCCTGCTGTCTCTTTGAACATATTTTATTGTAACAAGTCTACATAATGCTTAAGAGCGTAAGAAGAACCTGCTGAATCTGGTCATTGGCCAATCCAGTCCAACATCCTGTTCTCACAGTGGCCAGCCAGGAGCCCGTGGGAAGCTTGCAAACAGGACATAGGCACAATAGCAGTCTTCTCTCCTGTGGTTTCCAGCAGCCAGAATTGAGAAGCATCATTGCCTCTGACTGTGGAAGTAGAGCATAGCCATTGTGACTCGTAGACATGGAGAGCCCTTTCCTCCATGAAGTTGTCTGATCCTCTTTTAAAGCCAAGTCTTGTGGGAGAAAGTTCCATAGTTTAACTGTGCTACACAAAAAAGGACTTTCTTGTATCTGTTTTGAATCTTCCAACATTCAGCTTCCTCTAGTGTTACAAGAGAGGGAGAATAGATATTTCTCTATCCACTTTTCCCAGGTCAGGTATAAAATTATGAACTTCTATCACATTACCTTGTGTTTGGAGGGGAAATATCTAAGTGGTACACAATGTACATATCTTATTTTTTTTTTTAAAGATATTTATTGAAATTTTCAAAATGTTACACAAAAGAGAAAAATAAAATAGCAACAGAAGAAAGTACAAAATAAAAATAGTTGACAAAGTAGAAAAGGAAAAAAAGAAACAAACCCCTTCCCACCATATGAGTAAAAAATTCAAAATAAGAAAAAGTGACAGAAAGAAAAAAGAAAAATACAAAAATACATCACAAACCTTTAAAAACATTTAAAAACAAATTCATTGTATTCAGATCCTTAACTGTCATTGCCTTCTTTCTTAGACCTCCTCCTCCTCCCTTTCTTTGTATCCTAGTTATTAATTATCCCAGCAAATCCTTTCCATATTTCATAATATTCTGTCATTGCATTACCCTAATCTGTTTTAATCTTATCTTTCTATAATAAAATAAAGCTTAAAACTTAAAACTTAAATCTTATCCTTACCAGCTTCTCATAACCATAATATTCTTTCATAATTCTTTAAACATCTTTGCTAAAGCCAAGTAATTTCATTCCAACATTTTTCTAACATTCATCAATTTTATAAAACAGTTCTAATGGTAGAGAAAAGAGATACAAACAAATCCAATCTTCATCCAACGTCCCTTCCTCCTGGTTCCGGGTTTTGTCAGTCCTTATTCCCGTCGATCTGGCCCATTAACCTGGCAACCTTATATCCGAGGCCCTCAAGTCTCTTCCATGTCCCTTCCGCGGCTCTTCTTCATATTTGTAACTGTATTTTCCCTTGTCTCCTGCTCGTGGTAACTCCAGCTTGACAATGTTTTTGACCCTTCTCGACGGATCAGCCCCTTTTCCATGTTCAACACTGAATTCCATGTAGTATTTAAGAGCATGTTTCAAAGACCCTCCAAAATTAAGAGCCCCCACAGTCCCAAATTGTCCAAATTGTCCCAGGAAAAAGGCAGCGCTCTCTGGCAACGGCTATGCGGCTTCGCACCACAGAAATAGCAGTTGACTCACAGCACCGCGCCACTTCCCCCTCTTCACTTCGGAGCCCGTTAGTGGGTTCCTTAGCGGGTTGGGGGGGCATTAAAGGTGCCCGCCGAGTCCCATGGTCACAGGCTTCATCCGCCTGTGATTTTTAAGAGGGTCCCCGCTTCGCCGTAGCGGAGAAGACCCGTTTCCCGCGGAGCTAGTCCCTCCAGTTCAGAGGGAGTCCGCCATTGCCGGTGGCGCCACCCCGGAAGTCCCCCACAATGTACATATCTTAAAACATCATAAAGAGAGATCAAATACAAAAGAAATGCAATGAAAATCCCACATTATAAAATATTACAGAAGTAGGGCATCGTCTTAAGCACCAGAAGAAAGCATTGAACATGAAAACAAACCACAAAAATACAATGAAAATCCCACATGTTCAAATATCATAATTAGCAACTAAACGAGGTATCCTTTAAAACAGGTATCTTCTACATTTTCAGGCCCAGGACCCACTTTTAACCCAAACATGCATTTGGGGACCCATTTCTTAATCTATTGACATATATTTCCATGGTGGCTGTGATGCTGCTGCAGCAGACTTTGGATCAGTCACAATCCACCAACGGAAAACTGGTGCTCTCAAACTTCTGATTAAAACATTACAATTCGGCTAAGAAGAAAAATAGAATTCAGATGTATGAGATATAAAGCAACACACACAAAGTAATCTGTCTTTAGCACAAATCTGCCTCTAGCACTAACTTGATGCAAGAAATGGAGATTGATAGACTTGCCCATCCCTAAGGTGGCTTATTGGCCACAGGGCAGACTGCATGGCAAACAGCTCTGACCTGCAGCTGTTGCTGATCCCTTCCTGAAATCTGCTGCCTAAGTTTGCTGTCTTGCTGTACCTAATGATAGAGCTGGCCCCGCCCACATCTGTACGTAAATATGGCTAATATTCTGTAATATTGCCCTGCAGGGAGTGGGTGGCTGGGCTGGGCCAGAACATCTGGGGGAATATTACCTCCAGAAAAATACATTTGTTGCCCTCTTTCTTTGTCTGCCTTTTGGAGAGCCCCAAATATCTTTTAGCTTTGTTCCAGATGACATTTGGATGATTTATGCTTCTGCATTCCAATAACTGTTTTATCTAATGCTGCTGTTTTTAATATTGTCATTTTATCTGCAGCTGAACTTTTTATCTGATTGTTTTTATTTTTCTAACGTTATTTTAATGCTGTTTCGTTATTCTGTTGTTTTAATAATATGTCACCTTACTGTGGTGTTTTCTTTACTATTTTGAAATCACATTGGGAGGATAATTTATCCTGAAAGGCATTTTAAAATCTATTAAATATAATATTTTTGGAAAAACTATATATGTATATGCGTGTATATATATATATATATATATATATATTGCATGCAGCTCAGAAGGAAGCCTTCTAAACCTATATGTAGATCATGTATCCTTTGACCTGAGCATGTTTTGAAAAAAATCTCAATCAACAATGAACACACACACACACACACACACACAGCAATCACACCAATATGCATACTCAATTTTACCTTAGTATGAGGGGCAGCTCTTATCAAAAATTCAAGGGCAGAGCTGCATGCTTATTTTGCAGGGAAGAAAATAAGTAATGCATTGATGGCATCTCTTAGTTCAACAGAAAAATGAATAGATGCATAGAGGTTTTCTTGCCAAGATCACAGCGAGGTTAAAAGTGGGTGTTTAACTGCTAACACTGCTCCTGTAAGCTTGCCCTGCACGCAGAATATATTTCACTCCCTTGTGGTAGGTAGCGCCTTAGTGACCTCCTATGGTTGCTTTGCACAGCTGCTGCCTTACACACTGCAGCAGTGGCCTATTCAAAATGCATTCCTATATGCACCAGCATGGCTAACAGAGGCTGCACACACACTATATATTTAAAGCACATGTTTTCAAATACTGACAAATTCAAGCTTCACAATGATAGTTGATTGGGAGTTCTTTTTACTATATAGCCTTTATAGCCCACCTTTCCTGAGATCCTTGGTCCATTGAGCCCTGTACTGTGCACATTGAATGGCAGTGATCCACCAATGTTTCAGCCAAGGGAGACTCCCAGCCCGACCTGGAGGTGCCAGGGATTGAACCTGGGACCTTGCAAAACATGTGCCCTATGGCTGAACTGTGGCCTTTCCCCTGAAGTTACTCCTACACAGGAAGCTTCCTTGTCAAGCCTTTGGTCCAGGTAGCTCAGTACTGTGCACAGTGACTAGCAGTGGCTCTCCAGAATTTCAGGCAAGCGACACATCTAGCTCTGCCTGGGACTTTCTGCATGCAAAGCCAATGCTTTCTGTATCTGTGCTGGAGACATTATATGTTGCATTTTTCTCCCGGTTCAGTTTTCATAATTGTAGAATTTCTCCACCCAAAATCATTTATTTCCATTTTTAAGTTTCTGTGTATTTTGTTTCCTTGCAAATTCTCCTATCCCCAAAATGTGTCCTGTATAAAGACAAACATGGTGGGTTGTTGTGGGGGGAGGACCCACCTTCCCACAATCCCTTTTAAGGAACATGAGGGTGGTGAAAGTGCAACTGGCAGGATCCCCACCAGTGGTAAACCCTGAAATCAGGCATCACACAGTGGGAAAGGGCTGAGCTGGAACCTGAGCCGGCCATGGCATCAAATCCAATTGCTGCACCAGGTCCAGACTGCAGCTATTTTGCCAGACACCTAACAACAACAACAACAACAACAACAACAACAACAACACACCTTCTACTTAGGACATATCCTCAACAGGGATGCAGATGGAGTGTTGATTCTGCCACTCGGTTAAACCCTGCCAGGCAATATCCATAGTTTGGGTTGTGCCTGAATAAACTTTACACTAGTCAGGACAGTACTTTGGGGCACAAGTTGAGGACCCTTACTCAACAGAATGAGCAGGAGAAGCCACAAGTCCAGCTGCAGGACTGTGAAGAGCAGGGCAGCTGTGTACACTTGCCCTGGGCCTTGGAGGACTAAGCTGGCTGGGGGGCCCTACCAAGGGCCTGCCAGTCTTATTCTGTCATGCCAAGAACGCCCCATGCCTCCCGGACTTCTACCCTTGGCCTCAGACAAGCTCTGTGCAGCTGGGTTAACTTAAGGCAATTTGAAGTTAAAATTTGCATGTGCTGATTTATAAGTATAGGTGCAGATTTAGAAATAATTAGTATGATTTAAACAGAAATACACCTCACCCCAGTGGAGAAGACTGTAGCCTGCAGATGCCTGTGGGGCTGGTCAGTCTATTGTCCTGGTTCTAACTGCTGGTGGGCAATTTAAAGGCCCCTGCTTGCTCTCCCTTCTTATGGTTCTTTGGCCATAAGATAAACTGCACTTGGACTGGAGAGCCCTGCAGTCTGGGAATTGTAGTCCAAACATCAGGAGAATGCCAGGTTGGCAAAGGCTGGTGAAATTTGTTAAGGATCTTCAAAATAATGGGCTAAATACCATACCCCTCAACTGTCCC